AAACGATCCTGAGAGAAGACAATCAGTCAGCCTATGATATATTACTAATTATATTTGATGTTATTATTGTGAATAAAGTAATTCATTTACCTACCAATTTAAGTGGAACCTTGTTTTAAGCATTGAATCCTTAGCTATAAAAGTTGATCATTTTATATATTTTTAAATTTAAAATAATATATCAGAAAGCCTTGTATTAAATTCTCACGCTTTTTGACCTAACAAATAAGTTATTATTTTGAAGATCACATTTTCGTGATTTTTTACTTATTTTGAAATTTAGTAAAAAAAAAAAAAACCTAAAAATGTCCGTAAAAACTTCAAAATGAGTCATAATATTTTGAAAAATTTTATCAAGTATAGTAATTGATAAAATAAACATATTGTATAAATTTCAAGTATCTACAGTCATTATTAGTTTTTAAATTACAACAAATAGAAATACTTAAAAGTCGAGTGAATATCAAATGTTGTAAAAATGTAAACTTCAAACGTTCATGAAAATTTTATTTGACTTTCAGGTAGACAAACGTATAAGGAATCATGAATTCAATTTTCAAATCTAAAAAGAAAAATTTTTAAGAATTTCTAACTCAAAATAACTTGCACTTTTTCGTGATTTTTAAGTATTTTGTAAAAATTTGAACTTGAAATGCTTATAAAAAAAAAATCATATTTTGAATATTTTTCAACTGTAATAATATATCCTAGCCTTGTATTAAATTTTCAAGCTTTTTGATCCAACACTTCATATTTATAGAAAAAAAATTTAAAAAATTGGAAACTGAATTTGTCCCTGGTAGACAGCTCAAAACAAGTCGTATTTTGTAAATTTTATGGTGTATAGAAAACGCTAATATAGGTAAACATTCAATGAAAATGTTGTGTATCCATGGTAATTTTTTTTAGAGTTACGCCAAAAACCAAAATCGATATTGTAATAATTCCTTTTTTTCCTTAATTTTAATTTGGTTTTCCTGTGCTCTTTTGAAAACTAATGGGAATATTAAATTTTGATCTTTCCATTGCACCAACTAGATTTACTTTCAAATCAAATAAGATACTGAGGAAGAAAATCGAAGCAGTTTTACTGTTCCAAACGGTGACGACAGACACAAAAATAAAAAAACACACATCATTGTAAAATCAATACATTCATATAGCTCCTCTCAGAATCTAAAACGCGATATTTATTTTATTGGTATGGAATATGATTTATATTATATGAAGTACTCCATACGTATTATCATGTCCCTATTGTGCCAAACATTTTTATAAATTACAATCTAATAATTTTGTCGTCCGTATTATGCATTGTGATATCCCATTTTACGTCATATTTATGTGGATATTGATTTACTTATCAGACAAATCGACACACACTCTTGCGTACTATAGAGATTAATTCCCAAGAAGTTTTATGTACTCCACAAACGTTTCGTAATTGGCACCTGTGAATATGTATGAGAGTGGGTGGGTGGGTGGGTGGGTGAGCTACCGCCGGCGACCATTCACGTGAATCATCGCCAATATATCTGTGGCCAAATCCATTGGCGAAATTCACCGGGAAAAAATAATAAAGCCAATGAAAATTTAATTAAAAACTCTTCGGAATCGTTCTCCCAAACGAGTTATGCTTGAGCAACGTACAGTATATTATTAATAACGAAGTTACACGCGTTGTACTTATCAAGTGTTGGTGTATGGGTTCTCACATCGGCATTTCCGTGGATCGAAACAATGGCAGCATTTTACGAGATAATGAACCCGGACACATCCTCCGGTTTACTATTTGTATCGGAGGAGGCGCGAGATCCGCGTTAACCCGAAACGTATATTATTTTCTGCGCGTCGGAATTACAAAAGTTTTGTTTAAGCAAACTATAATAATAATACATAAGGATGTCTGTCTATTCAAATACGTATAATTAAATTACTATTGACATGCCGCCGCCGCCGCCGCCGACGGTATATCCTGAAAACGTTGTTGTTTCACCGCGGTGAGTTTTTACAAATCAAAGTGCAGTTATATTTTTGTATCACTCAGGACTTGTCGAAATATACCAATTTATCGTGTATGATAATATCATTGTATAATATTTCAGAGGTAGAATTGTTTTCAGTGGCGTGTGAATAACGGAAATAAAATAATGAAAAAAAAAGAAAATTAGATTGCAACCGTTTGGATTGACCTGACAGATATTTAATAATATTTCGTTTGAATGCGATTACAATCGGAAAAATGGTTTAGATATTACAAACGCAAAAGCATTTCACGTTTATAAACCTTTTATTCTACATTTTTTCAGTGTTAAGGTTACATTTAAGTTGCTTGATGAGCAGTGTTCGGACTTATCCAGATACATTTATCTAGATGAATATCTAAATAATTATTTGTTCATATTTTATCTTATCTAGATAAATAGTTACAAGGTATCTAAACGTTCATCTTAGATAATTTTTTTACTAATCTAAATTAATTAATCTAGATACATTTTTTATTGATAAAAATCAATCGAAATTATACAAACGCATTTTAAATATTTATACAGATTCTCAAACCAAGTTTATGGTTTATAAATAATGTAATTATTTTTATTTATATCATTATTATTATTATTATGTTCCTAGTACCCAACTAGAATATAAATAAATTTAAAATCCATTAAAAAAAAACTGTATCTTTTTTTTATCTAGATAAATATGAATTAAGTTATCTTTTATGTCTATCTAGATGCATTTGAATTGCATTATATTTATCTTTATCTAGATAAAAAAATACTTATCTAATCTGAACACTGTCGATGAGTATTGTTGTTTCATTTTCGCTCCATCTTCGCACTGTATTGACCATCTACAAATTATTCCACAGCATTATTTTAAAATCACATTCGTCAACTTTAATAAAAATACTCGTAAGAAATCCTTCATTGAATACTTATATAATTTATGTATGATAAGTTTAAATTTAATATGTTTGATGAACAATAATAAATGATTTTCTTTGACAGTAAATTTCGTCAGGTTACTTTATTTATTTACTGACTATGGTATTATCTTAAGTTGTATTTATTGGATTACTGACATTAGCAATAAATAAAACCTAGAGTAAAAATAATTTAAAATTAACTATCGAAGACAAAAAAGAACTTATCTTCAAATTGTATTCGTTCTTTAATAATGTAAGACATCAGTTTGAAAAAATATAAGTATGATGCATGTGAGTAATTCCAGAAAATGAACTCTATTATCGTCCAACAATATTGCAATAACCAGAAACATCAAAGTTTCTACAATAAATTATTTTTGAAATTGTTCTTATAAATGTATTGTGTTTTGTAATAATTTACACTTATTCTATTATTTATATACTTCTAGTATACTTACTATTCTAAAGCTAATATGTCAGAGGATTCGGACATGGTGGCAACAATGAAAAGCAGATGGATAGTCTGTGCAGGGCACGTGAGGACCAGAACAGATAGTAGGACAAGTCACAAAATGCGGAAAAAACAGCTATATAGATCGCCCTAGACAACGATGAGTGGACAGAGTTCAAAAAGACCTTACCATACTGGGCAGTAAGCAAACATAATAGTAAAGAGAAAGGTAGCTATAAGGACAGAGACAGATGGATAGGAGTGTAGGTTGCACCGAAGAATCGAACTGTCTATGTTAAGCAAAAAAAGAAAAAAAGTCAATATTTTAAATCATTTGTAGCACATTTTTTTTCTTGTATTATCGAGGACCGGGGAGAGAACCGCGATTTGCATTACAGCTCCCGCCCCCATCGCTTATTGACAAACACAACTAGTTATCAATTACAACAATCAGGGCCGGGGGAAATGGGGTAAAAAAATAGGTCACACCCCCCTTTTGAATTTTTCGTAACTATCAGTCGGCATTTTCTTAATAACAGAGAATTGTCAGAAATTATACGACTTGTTAAAAACTGTTTTCCTAGATTTTCTCAGGTTATAATTTTAACAATGAAAACGAGTACGGGTCCTCGGCAATCAGCATTACTTTAATTTCTAAATCGGTAATTACAGAGGATGGCAGTTTACTATGTTATAAAAAATTTAAAATATAAGCTGATATTTATTATTTAATCAATGACTATTGACTCCACAATAGTGTTAGTAAACAAATAAGGGAAAGTAGAATTCCTTGTTTTTCGACTATACGCACTTGACAATTTAAGAGGTTACTGATTTAGAATTCAAAATACTGCTGATTGCTATACATAGAGAATACCTATAATAACTTTTTTTAGTACCATCGTCCATCGCCCATCGGTATGCTATCGCTAATCGCTATCTCAAGTACCTATCTCATATCTGTGAGCTGTGGGTGGTAGGTCTATATTGTTACTATTACAGTCAGTGGTGTCAATTCAGTTTTTAATAGAGGGGGGTAAAAGTTTCAACCAGCCCAAATGAGTAACTTAAAAAACAACCACTGGCAATCACATTTTAATATATTATGTTACTAATAAATTTTTACACGGCAGTGGTTTACCTAGGTTCTTCCATAAGTGTAACATGCAGATGCCGAAGTTTTATTTTAGATTTTGGTTCCTATAGGCTATAACACTTATCATATATTGATTTAATAATACACAATTTTTAAAGTTTAAATAATCCAGACAATCCTTGTACCTGTACGGCTAGCGGCTGTATGATATACAAGTAACAATTAGCAGTATAACGGACTATATGCATAGAACTATTCAAAATGTTTCAGTTCAATTTTAAATTTTTTTTTTTCTTTTTATGTTTTTTAGGTAGTATAATATTTATCAAATTTTAATTATTTTAGCTTACCTTACCTATTATACAAAAAAAAAACCAGGAATTTTTATAGGTACTTCACATAGTTTGTTTTAAGAAATTACTGGTCGACATTTTTACAGTTGGCATAAATTATATTTCAGTCGGTAAATACTTGAGCTCCACCTCCCGTCAAAATCGTATAACGCCGGCCCTGACGACAATAGCTTATGCCCCCTCGACCTGGCAGACTATATACATCTGCCAGGCGGCCGGTCCGGGGGGCGTACAGTCAAAATGAAAAAACAAGAAACAATTGAGAGTGTTGTTGGTCTGGACTTCTCGACCCGGTTGACTAGCCCGCCAATCTTGAGTTCTCGTACTGTCCTCTACTATACTGGCCTCTCGTCTTCCTGGTGTGCATCCTTCAACTTCGGTGAGGCGGCTAGCCGTCTGACGGACCGAGGGTCGGTTGTCCGGGTACAGTGATCCAGTCACCTGCTTTGCTTTTTCTTCGATTTCCTTCAATGAAAGGATGTCCTCTGCCATTTTGTAAAACTGCTGGAAACCTTCGTCGGCGTTAGAAAGCAAAATGCCTTTTTCTTCTGGGTCCGGAGGGTCATTTGTAGCACCTGGGTGCAGTTTGATTCTTATGAAGTCAACCGTTTGAGTTATAGTTTTTCTTTTTTGTAGTTTAAAAAACTTTAATTATGTTTCAATCAGATGAATTGCTAGGGGTGTAAAATTATTATTTATTTGTATATTACTCTCCTGAGCTAGTCTGATTTAAAATTAATTTAAAATATACGATATTCACTATGAAATCAAATGTTCAGATGTATGCAGTAAGAATTGAAGACGCGAAGTTCAATCATGTAAAATCAATAAATTCTAGTTAAAATATCTAACTGGTGCTCTAGACACTAGACATGACAGTTTAATATACATTTTAAAAATTCTTCTAAAACATTATTTCAATTTGTTTATTTTTAAATATTTCATGGATGTAAGAAATATCCTCTAGATATCAGCGGTTCTCAATGTATGAAACATCACTTTCCCTGAGAGTCAAAGAACTAGTTTTGGATGGAGAGTAAGTTTTGAGACATCAGAGATTCATATTCAGGAAGAGTCGATCGAACTTTCAACTACTGATGACATTTTGAAATCCTAGATTCTACTTGTATCTAATTAGCTTCTTATTGCCCAACAGCAGAGGTTATAAGATTTTTGTACCTTAAATACATACCAAAAAATGTGTTCTTCAAAAGTATTTTTGTGTTTTTTTTTTGCAATATCTTTCACAGCCAGCGATTTTAATAAAATAAATATAATAATGAAATTAACTTGAAAGTAATAAATACTAATCAAATTTAAATAATACGAATTGAAACGTTTTCTAATTGAATGTTCATTTCAACGATACACATTTCATCAGTGTTAAGTTTGATGATCATTATGTTTTACAAAATGTATTATAATTTATAATTAATCCAATTTTATTACCTATTCTAATATTTAGACGATTTTGTTTGTCAGAAATTGAACTTCTTAAACAGCCATGGAAGAATGCTTCACATTAAATCAAATATAATATATATCGTACTTTATAGAGGTAATGATTAAAATGCATCGTTAACTTCCTAACAAATTGTATAAAAAACGGTAAAAAGTTATAAATAAATCTAATAAATAACTATAAATCACATATTCCAAAATAAATAAATATTTAAAATTTTAACTACCTAAAAGTCCAACATTTAGTATAATTGAGAAAATAATTATTATTTAAAAATGTTAGTGCTAAATGGATTCTTTTAAAGTACAATGTGCTGCGCCTTCATGCTGACATTTATATTACTTGGCCTCGAATATTTCAAACTAAGTATAATATTATTTTGTATAATTTGTTGTAGAAAATAACTTGAGATTTGTAGGTATGCGCGTGACATATTATACATCACACGTTACACGTATACAGTTAGCAATACACTTCTAGTGATTTAATTTTTCCTTAGCTATTTTTTACACTAACTTAACGAAGTGTTCTTTTTTAAAGATTTATGAGTACAGTCATGAAAACTAATTTTAAAAGACACCTACCAAATGAAAATCCTTGTTGTACTCATTTAAGATTGATCACGTAATTTTTAATGCTATAATATTATTACTCGTAACTTGTTTTTGTTATATGTGTATGAAACTATGAAATTGGATGGTTTAAAACTTTAAAGCAATCTATGCGAGTGGAGTATTCATTATTTAATATCATTAATTATGTGTTTATCAGCTGGTCTCAATGGTGTTACCAAACCAGCAATTTGAGTTCGTCAGGTATTTTTATATCCGAATTACATTCAAAAGTTGAATTTAGTGCAACGAGGGAAAAAATAATCAAGAATACACTGATGTGGGGCTGTCCCAAAATGTTGTACCAGACGCTGCACAGTATTAATAGACCGACCCTATGCAGTTGTTAAAAGGTTTTAGTTATTGTAGTTTCTAATACTGAAAATTTAAACAAGATCATTCCAATTTTGTATTGTTAACATTGTTAAAGAGTTTCAAAAATTGGAAATTCACCTTTTTTTATTTTGTAAAAGTAACAGTGTAAAGATTTTACAAGATTAAAAAAATACTCTATATACATTAATAAAGTATTAGCAAAATGTTTAATTATATTTATAACATCAAAAGTAATGTATGTATAATTAAAATTCAAGAATTTAGTGGTGTTTCAATGGTTGTGAGTCTCGTGGAGTTGTTAAAAATTAAATTGCTTACCTACATAAAAAAAATTCCAATTTACGCTACTGCTTGTGGGGGCATTATGAGAACGATTTTTGTTTAACACCGTCTGCGTCATATATATAGGTACAGCCTATGACTGTGAACAAACTTAACGTTATACATATTAACTGAAATTAAATAAATATAAAAGCGTGTGAACTGTGTAAAATATTTAATATTGTGTACTCGGTTATTTTGTTTAATGGATTTTTTTTCGTTACAATTAAATTTTAAGTGAAAGAACGTTGAAATAAAAATAACGAAATAAATATTTTTAATTCAAATACAAAACTATGTTTTAAAATGTTTAGTCGATTTTTTTATATTTTTATATTTTTTTGTTTTTTTTTGCACTGTGGAATCTAGTATGGGTATAGCAAAAAAATATTGTAATTTTACTCAAACAATGATTGATATTTATTTATCGTTTGTTGAGTTAAATACAATGGATACTGCAATGCGGATTGTGCTTAAAACAATATTATTTAAACTAATAAGGGTTTAATTTTTTCATGATAAAATGTATAGAAGAGGTTCTAGTCTGCTTAATTGATAGTAACAATTTAACTTTTTAAAATATCATATTATATCGTTAGTAAATTAAATGCAATTATTCGTTATGTATATTTTTATCGAATCAAAATAATTGGACATTTACACATTTACAGTTAATTTGTTTATAGATCGGTGCTTGAATTACGGTTTATTCTTTAAAACTTCATAAAAAAAATATACTTCATTTATCCAGAATGCGTTCTGCAGAGCAGTGTATAACGCATATACCTACTGTTTAAATACTTTAATCATGTAAACAACAACATTTAAATGTATTTTGGTACTTGGATTTTTCATTATAATATTATATTATAGGTACAACATGCTTCGTATTTTTTTTATCGGCTAATCTACTGCTGTTACTGCATGCAAAAAAGTAAGTCAAAATACCGTAGTCAGTGGGTTCAGTTGTAACATGGCGTTTTGTTATATTATTGTGTGAAGTAGGTAGTACGTCTTTGTAGTTTCAATAACAAATAAAAGAAAATGTTTGTAACATTTCTACCTATTACGCCTGGATAAAGATTTACGGTATAATTAAAACAACATACTCGGGATTTTCAATAATTATTATACATTGTAGTACAATAATTGAAAGCAAACTATATTACATTGTATGTTTCTAGTTTTTCAGTGTTTCTAATCGAGTTATGTCTACATATATAGATGTATGATGTATTTTCAATCTATTCAAATCGAATATTGTAGCTAACAAATTTCACCCCCACGTATTAAATTACTTACTGTGTAACCCGAACTCACCAAGTAAGTAGGCACCTATATCTACCAATGAAAATTTAGATTTTCAAAATCCTTCAAACTATCCTTTTAAATTTTCACCCTTTTAATAATATATAATAAAGGACTCAGAATTTGTAAGTCTCGTGTTACATAATATATTCCAAAATAATCATCTATCAGAGTGATTTTCAATCGTACAGCAAAATTAAAATATTTTCCAGTTTATTTATAAATCCAAATATATTATGATGCATTTTAGTCGAGTCTGCATTCGGTCCACTAAATAATCGAACCATTAACTGTTTTTAGTGACTATAGAATGTTTATGTCCCAATGCGATTAAAATAGACATAAAAAATTTAAGTTTTAACTACAGTTCACAGCCTCAATAAATTCGCAGTAAGATATATAATTTCAAATAAATAAATAAAAACCATCATTAAAATCCATACGATAAATGAAACCTTATATAATATATACCTACATTAATATTGATACGGAGCAGAGACAAAGAAACTGGTGGCTCTTCGCTTGTACGCCTTCATGCGTTTAATCATATGGATATGGTCTGAATTAAAAGAATCGAGGAATGTAATCAGAGACATAGTCAAGTCGCCTATATATTTTTTTGACTTCCAGATTTTTCTTTTTGCGTAGGCACCTGCCACCCATTTAGAGATTTTCTGATTTAGAGATTTTAGACTACTAAACTACGTGTAAAATAACACACATTTTGAGACTAGTGTATTATGACAATGTGAAAAATATTTTATTTTATGAAACAATTTATTAATTATTTGCAATCCAAGCAATACAATTAGTACAATGGTAAATTCAATACAAGGTTATTAACAGGAGGTAGCGTTTATGGGCAGACACTCTGCAGTGCCACCCAACCTGCAGGTATTTTTTAAGTAATACCTATTGTTTTATTTAATTTTTTTTTTATTTTCGTAGGTTTCTAGGCCACTGTTTTCATTTGAGTCTTTTACGTACATTACCGAGAAGTGAGATGGAGTATAGTTGTTTGATTAATAGGTTACTTCTTGAGAATTTAATTAAGTATGAAATTTAAAGTAATATAATTTCGCTAATTGATTTAAAAAATATTAATCTTTATTCTTTAAAATTAAATGATTAAGCTACCGCTATAATTACTATAAGATGAATCTAATCTGAAAACCACAGTTGAATTAACTGATAAATCACGATTACGCTGCCAACGTTAATTTTGAAACAACTGCCAGTGTAACGGTCATCAGATAATCTCTATAATTTTATGTCTATGAAAAAATAATCTCGTTGATGTTGGATTTTTTTTGAAATTCTTGAAATTCTTCTCACCATTAGATAACATTTTATAGTAACTACCATTCATACCGTGGGATTTTGTAGAATCAAGAAGACATTTTGAAATATTGTTATAGAGAACTTATTAGTTGTTTGCTATTCATATACACATA